GTAGTATGGTGCAGTACAGGACAGTGTGGTGTAGCATGGTGTAGTATAGTGTAGTACAGTGCAGTATTGTGTAATACAGTGTAGTATAGTGTAGTACGGTACAGTATAGGACAGTGTGGTGTAGTACGATGCAGTATGGTGTAGTACGGTGCAGTACAGGACAGTGTGGTGTAGTACGGTGCAGTATAGTGTAGTATGGTGCAGTAGTGTAGTACGGTGCAGTACAGTATAGTACAGTGCAGTACAGGACAGTGTGGTGTGGTACAGTGCAGTATAGTGTGGTACGGTGCAGTATAGTGTAGTATGGTGTAGTACAGTATAGTACGGTGCAGTACAGGACAGTGTGGTGTGGTACGGTGCAGTATAGTGTAGTACGGTGTAGTACAGTGTAGTACAGTGCAGTACAGTGTAGTATGGTGCAGTACAGGACAGTGTCATGATCATCTCTGCTCTCTTTAAGTCATGTTGTGTGTACTTCCCAGTCTCTTCTCCTCTTCCATGTAGCCTCAGAATTCCCACCTGGAAAATGGGGCCAACAAACACCTGACAGAGCTTCAGTGGGGATGAATCCAGCAGGAAGAATGCAGGCCGAGGTCTTGCACATAACACCAACAGCAGGGGCCCCGTTTGTGTGACACGTGACACTCCTTCAGGTTTCGTACACATACTAATGTACCCTCCACAATGCCCCAAGAACACCAGGATTATTCTTTATCCCCATTTTACAGACCAGCACACAGAGGTGAGAGCGGTCTGATTGCCTGGGTTTCCCCACTGAGAGTCAGTGGTCTGACTTCCCTCAGGAGCCCAGGGCCGGGCCCTCAAACCTCCCACAAATCCAGGGACTGTATCCACTGACCAAAGCCATGGTTCCTGAAGTTGGCTACATCGTGTTTCCAGCTCTGCCACCATCCCCAAGAGCAGGCCATAATGTAGTGCCCCCAGCTGCGCCCCCACCCGCCCTGCACTCACCTGCCACCCGACTGCCCTCACCCCGGCGCCTCGTGCTCCTGGCACCTCTACCCCGTGCGGCCACACAACCCAGGTCCCCAGGGAATGGAGGTCCCCCAGGAACTAGAGAGCCATGGGCCAACTTCCCCACTGCCCCGCATTTCGTGTAAGACCAAGGACACACCACCTGGAGTGTCAGCAACCCGGGGACAGAGGAGCATGTTGATGGGGGCCCAGGGCTTCTCCTTGGTGTCACCATGTTCTCTGCACATGTGGGCAGCCCCCTGGGCCCCCGAGACCCCTCACCAAGCTCGACTGCTCGAACCCTCCTAGCCCTAGCTGCCCCATTTACCTTATGTCGCCTCCATTCATGATAGTCATCACCAGACAGAGGTCAGTTTTGGTTTCAAATGCATAGGCCAGAGAGACTATAAACCTGCTGTGTACCTTTGCTAGAATCTTCTTCTCTACCATGGCACCCTGAAAAGCAAGATGTCAAATCAGTACCCAGGTTTAAGCAGGAAAGTGATGTCACTGAAAAGAGCGAGTACCAGAAAATACCAGAAAATAGCAACAGAGTTGCAAAGTTACTTGACGCAGCTTTTGCATAAAGCAACTGCAAATAACTTACAGACATGTCTCACTTGTCCCATTCCCAGAGACCAAAGCAATCATGCAAACGTGTGCGTGTACCAAGGACTCCAGGCTTCCTGGAGCCTCCAGCAAGGAGGCAGGAGTCGGACCACCAGCCTTCACAACACCGGGTGAGGGTCCAGCACGGCCCTTGCTCAGAGCTGACCCTCCTTCCAGCCATTCCTTACACCTGACCAGCTCGCCCACTGCAAGCCCAGACCCGATCCTCCCTCCAGGCCCGTGGACAGCAGACAGCCGGGGACCCACCAGCACCTGCTCATTTTCTGTCCATTTAACACATTTTTTAAAGTTGTGTTTGGGAAGGGACGGTACAATTCCTTTGTGAAGGAGGAATTCTTGGTGTTCCGGAAGGCCCCTCTGCATCCACACTGCAGGGCAGATTTCGGGTCTTCCTGAGTAATAAGTTCAATGAGGACCCTGAACTCGGGACAGAAGACACTGTGGGTTAGGACGACACGTGGACCGCTGTGAAGGATGCCTGCATGCCCCTGCAGCCCCAAGGGGACAGCACTATCGAGAAGCCCCGGGGTGGGCACCCTTGGTGGCTGCTATTTACCCCAAAAGCTGCATTTGCACTGTGTGGCAGGACAGGATGGGAACCACGTGGGACGGGAGGGGAACTCCTACGACACAGCAGCTTTTACTGTCCGGCCGAAAGGGAGTCTGACCCCTGTTGGGGACAGGAGACCCCAGGCAGCAACACGCTGTGCCTTGGTCCCCCGTGGCCCGGGGAAGACAAGGCAGATGCTGCCCGGCCCGGCTGGACTCCCAGTGTGCCCTCCATCATAGCACAAGCCGGTGCGTGGAGAGCTCCAGAAGGCCGGGGTAAAGAACCAACAGCCCCTCCAACACCTACTCCCCGATTTCACGGTAGTAGTGAAAACACAAAGAAGCCTGGCAGGAGGGGCCCCCGCGTGGCTCAGTCGGGTGCGCATCTGAGTCTTGGTTTCGGCTTAGCTCATGCTCAGGGTCATGGGATTGAGCCCCGCATCAGGCTCTATGCTCAGTGCGGAGCCGACTCCGCCCCTCCGCCCCTCCGCCCCTGCTCGCATGCGCTCTCTCCAAAATAAATCTTTAGGGACACCTGGTGGCTCAGTTGTTGAAGCGTCTGCCTTCGGCTCAGGTCATAATCTCAGGGTCCTGGGATCGAGCCCTGCATCGGGCTCCCTGCTCGGCGGGAAGCCTGCTTCTCCCTCTCCCGCTCCCCTACTTGTGTGCTCTCCCTCTCTTTCTCTCTCAAATAAATAAAATCTTTAAAAATAAATAAAATAAATCTCTAAAAAATAGATGTCTGGTGGGATGTGCAGTACCACCCACCTCAACAAACACAGAGGCCGCCTCTGAGGAGGGGCAAACCCCGTGTGTGTGCAGAGCCAGGCCGGGGGGTGGGTGCAGAGCTGTGGACTGCCCCTCCATGCCCCGCAGGCCAGACCGCTGGCTCAGGACGAGAAGGCTGCCCAACGGGAGGGGCCCGGTGTCCCCAGGGCCGAGGAGCCAGCCCATGAAGGGCGCTGTATGGGGCTGGACATGGTCCCTGATGCCCTCCCACCGCCATGAATGGCTGGCTGCCCACCTGGTACCCCTTCCTTTTCTTGAGTCTCTTCTTGTTGAGCTTCTTGCACGCATACAGCTTGCCGGTGGCCTTCATCTGGCAGGCGGACACCTCCCCGAAGCCACCTTTCCCCAGGACCCTGAAGTCCAGGAACCAGTCCTCACCCGTCGGCTGGGCCTCCAGCCACTTCCACTGCAGGAACCTCTGGAAGTACAGACTGCCCAGGTACTCCTGGAAGGGTGCCTGGCTCAGGTGCGCAAGGGTGGCCTGCAGCAGGGGCTGGAAGAGCCCATCCCCTCTCGTCACAGGCCCCTCCCGGGCCTTTGCCACCGTCCCCTCATCCAGGAAGCTGCAGAAGAGCTTGGCCTGGGGTTCCAGGTACTCGGCCAGGATGGCCCGGGCTTTCTGTGGCCGGAGGTCATCATCTGCTGTGTCATAGTCTTCGATGTCCTTCCAGAGCTCCAGAGCCGGCACGTGCCTCTCGTCAGCCCCCAGGAACTGCTGGAACAGCCGCTTGCCGATGGGCTGCTCTGAGCACACACTCGGAAACGCCAGGTCCAGGCTCTCACGGAGGCCCTCACACCTGGACAGTGGGGGCAACTTGAGCTTGGCCAGGTACTTCCTGTCCCGAGAAGATGGGCCACTGCTCCCGTCGAAGCTGCCCCGGGCGGCAATGAAGGCCGAGTTGGCCACCACCGTCTCCAGGGAACCGAAATCCATCCTGGTGCTGGCCTCCCACCGCGTCAGGCACGAGAGGCCTGACCTGCCACCCCAGGCCCGTGCCCCCTGCCCTCCCCAGACAGCAGGCGTCCCAGCAGGTGTGAGGGTGACTGGGGGCCACGCCGGGAGCCCAGGGAACCCAGCTGACACAGCTCTGGCCAAATCCCAGCCCAGGGTCACAGAGCAGGTGCCAAAAAAAGACAATCCCCTAAGCTGCTTCCAGGAGGATTAGACGGCCCCTCCTTCCTGCCGCTTCCTCCTCAGGGCCCACCGGGAAGGACAAACTCCAGACCCCGAAGCATCTCCCTGAAGCTGCCCCGTCGGGCCCCCAGCCCCAGTAGACAGGGCACCTGCTTGTTCCCTTGCAGGAGTGGGAGGCCAAACAGAAGGCAGAGGAGCCCAGGAGAAACCCCGACTCAATAAAGATCGCTGGGTGGGGGCTTCCCCACTATATTTCATTTTTGTCTCAAAAAAATTCCAAGTGGGAGGAAAAACAGCTGATAACAGGAATTCAGAGAGAAAAAAACCACGCAGTGAACAGCTTCCTGTGGTGTCTGAGGGTGGAACCACTGTCAGGGGACTAGTTAGTATGTGGGGACCTGGCCTGACACTGACAGTAGCCTGCCTTCAGGTCACCTGCCCGCACTGGGGACCTAAGGTAACCCCAGCACCTGCCGAGGGATCAGCTCCACAGCAGCTCCCTCCCCTCTCCTGGGCTGTGCCAGCAAAGCGTAAATGCCTAGAGAAGCTTCAGGTGAAGTTAGGACTGAAGCAGGAGACCCCCAGCTACACCCAGGGCTGAGGCCCCAAACAGAGAGACGAGTGAGAGGGGAGTAAAGAGGCCTGGGACACACCTGGGGCACACCTGGGACACACCTGGGGGACACACCTGGGGCACACCCCTGGGGGACACACCTGGGGCACACACCTGGAGCACACCTGGGGCACACCCCTGGGGGACACACCTGGGACACCCCTGGGGCACACCTGGGGCACACCTGGGGACACCCCTGGGGGACACACCTGGGGCACACCCCTGGGGCACACCCCTGGGGCACACCCCTGGGGGACACCCCTGGGACACACCTGGGGCACACCTGGGGACACCCCTGGGGGACACACCTGGGGCACACCCCTGGGGGACACCCCTGGGACACACCTGGGACACACCTGGGGCACACACCTGGGGCACACCCCTGGGGGACACCCCTGGGACACCCCTGGGGCACACCTGGGGGACACACCTGGGGCACACCCTTGGGGGACACACCTGGGGCACACCCCTGGGGGACACACCTGGGACACACCTGGGGCACACCTGGGGAACCCCCCTGGGGGACACACGTGGGGGACATCTGGGGTTGCCAGGACCCACAGAAGTGTCAGATTCACACAGACACGGTCTTGTCTATCAGCAGGTGTTCAGTAAATGTGTAGGGAGAAAAGGAAGTGATGGAGGCTGGTTATAATTTACAGAGGGGAGGAAGTGAGAGGCCACAGACACAAGAATATGCAGGAGCCAGAAGAGGCAGGGAAGGCCAGCCCACCCCGTGGTCGTCCTGGGAGGCAGGGAGGTTCCGCAGTGGGTGTGGGCAGAAGGCAGGGGAGGCCAAGGGAGAACTTGCCGTCTGAGCAGCCACAGTCCCCTCCTTAAGCCCCCCTGCCTACCCGTCAGGGTTCACGGGACAGTGGTTGGGGTTTGCTGTAGCCTCCACCCGCACTGCCCACAGTGTGTCCGCAGTCCGCGCTTCCCAGTGGTGCCGGCCACACCCATCGCCCAGAGATCTTGCCAAAATAAAGACTCTGCTTCAGTGGCCCAGGCTGTGGGGCCGAAACTGTGCATGTCTCCTGAGCTGCCTGGGGATGCAGTGGGCAGGCTGCTGTGGTCCAGGCTGTCCTGGTCCCTCCACCACCACCACTCTGTCTCCATTACTGTGCGTTAATACCGACAACAGATAACGGGTCTTGGAACCGAGTACATGGAGTTGTCAACTTTATTGCTCTTTTTCCCAAAAATAGTTTTCAAACAACACAGTTTTTAAATTCAAAATATGGAAGAAAATATCACACTTCCTTTGCCTTTCTATGTAAATTTTACAGAAGTCTGTATCTACACAGAAACATCTTGCTGGATCTCGACAGGAGTTACACCTGTGTATCAACTTGGGGAGAACTGGCATCTTCAGGGGCTGAGTCTCCCAACCTATGAACATAACCTGTCTGCATTTCCTGGGACCCTTCAGTGCTGTCCTCACCAACATGCAGCCTTCGCCATGCGAGTCCGTAAGTGTTCTCTTGGATTAATACCTAAATGTTCCTTTTTGTTTTGAGCAATTGCCAATGGTACTGTATTTTTAATTTTGGTATCTATGTGTTCATTGCTAGTAAATGAAATAGTTGATTTGGGGGCATTAATCTTGTGTCCTCTGCCTTTTGCTGAACTCACTTGTTCTAGATTTTTTGAAGTCTTTGGCGTTGTCTACACGTACAACCCTGCCATCTGAAGACGGGGAGTTTTGTCTCTTCCTTTCTAGATGGTACGCCTCTTCTTTTCTTGCTTGTATTCCACTAGCTGGGAAGTCTAGCACAAGGTTGCCTCAGAGGCGAGAGCAGAGATCCGTGCCTCATGCTCAGTCACAGGGCAGACATAGCCAATCCTTCACCACTGGGTGGGATGCCGGCTGTAGAGATCCTGTCAATGCTTTCCATCAAGTTTCTGTCTATCCCCAGCCTGCTGAGAACATTTATCATAAATGGATCTTTAATTTTGTCAAGTGCTTTTTCTGCATCAGCGGACATGACCATGATTTTTCTTCTTTAGCTTGTCAAAGTTGGGTATTACACTGATTTTTGAATATTGAACCTGCTCTCCATCTCTAGAACATAACCCTCTCGGTCATGGTGTTTAATGCTTTTTTAAAAAAGATTTATTCATTTATTTGAGAAAGAGAGCACAAGGGGGAGACGGAGAGAGAATCTTAAGAGCCCGACTCGGGGCTCAGTCCCACAACCATGAGATTAGGACCTGAGCCAAAACCAAGAGTCAGATGCCCAACCAACTGCGCCACCCAGGTGCCTGTTTAATGCTTTTTATACACTGTTGGATTTAATTTGCCAATACTGGGTTAAGGACTTTTGTGGCTCTATTTGTGAGGGATTTGGTCTGCAGTTTTTGTTGCTGTTTGTGCTGTCTTTGTCTGGTTTTGGTGAAGGGTGTACTGGCCTAATAAACCAGTCAGGAAGTTCCCTTCTATTTTCCAAAGGATACAGGGCACAATTTGTGCTCTTCATTACGTGTTTGGTAGAATTCTCCAGTGAAACCATCAGGGCCCGGAGGATTTTTTTGTTGGGAGATTTTAAATTATAAACTCAATTTCCTTAATAGTTATAGGGCTATTCAAAGTATCTATTTCAAATTGGACAGGTTGTGTTTTTTTGAGAAGAGACCAATTTCACAGATTTGTTGAGTGTATGTATAAAACTGTGTGTGGTATTTCCTTTATGTCTGAAGGGTCTGTAGTGATATTTCATTTTTGATGTGATTATGTGTCTTTTCTCTTGCTATAGGTTTGTCAATTTTATTGACTTTTCAAAGAACCAGTTCTTTCACTGATTTTCCCTTTTGCTTTCCCGTTTTTAATTTCATTGATTTGTTTTAATTTCATTTTATTTCTTCCTTCTACTTGCTACCCCCCCCTTTTTCTGTTTTCCAAGTGGGAACTTGGATTATTAACTTGAGACTTTCTTTTTGAATGCATAAACTTAGAACTATAAACTCTCCTTTTAACAATGCTTTAGCTATGTCCCATGAATTTTGATGTTCTATATTTGTCATCAGTCCTACAAATACATATTTCTTTTTAATTTCCCTCAAGACTTCCTTTTGACTCATGAATTATTTTAAATGTATTGTTTAGTTTTCACATGTTTGGAAATTTTCCTGTTATCTATTACTAGTTTCTAGTTTGATTGTATCATGGCTGGAGAACACACTCTGTATGATCTCGACTCTCTTAAATTTGTTGAGCTTTATTTTAGGGCCCAGGATATGGTCTACCCTGGTCACTTAAAAAGAAATTCTATTCTGCTGTGCTTGGGTGGGGTGTTCGACAAATGTCAATGGCATCCTCTTGGTTGACAATATTGTTGAGTTCTTCTATATCCATACTGATTTTCTATTTAGCTATTCTATCAATTGTTGAGAGAGAAGTGTTGAAGCCCATAACTAAAATTGTGGGTTTGTCTATTTCTACTTTCAGTTTATTAGTCTGCTTCATGTATTTTGCAGCTCTGTTGTTTGGTGCATACACATTTAGGATTGCTTTATCTTCTTGGTGGATTGACCTTTTATCATTACACAATGTCTGTCTCTTGTAATTTTCTCTGCTGTGAGGTCTATATATTAATATAACCACACATGCTTCATTTGATTAGTATTTGCAGGATATATCTTTCCATTCTTTCCCATTCAACCTACCTAGAATATTCTATTTGAGATGAGTTTCTTATAGATAGCCTACAGTTGGCTCATGTTTTTAAATCCACTGTCAGTTTTTTGATTGGTGTATTTATAGCATTTATATTTGATGTTATTGTTGCTCAAGTCTGCCATTTTTGTTTTTCATTTGTTTTCTTTTCCCATTTTTCCTGTGGGCTACTTGAACATTTTTTGGAATTCAATTTTATCTATAGTATTTTTTGAGTGTATCTCTTTATGCAGATTTTTATTGGTTGCTATTGGTATCATATATACATGACCTATCAAATTCTACTGCTATCATCTTTTTAAAGGTTTATTTGAGAGTGTGTGCACACGAGTCGGGGGAGGGACAGAGGGAGAGAATCATCAAGCAGACTCACCATGGAGCACTGAGCCCTATGTGGGGCTCGATCTGATGACCCATGAGATTATGACCTGAGCTGAAACCAAGAGTCAGACACTCAACTGACTGAGCCATCCAGGCGCCCCCTATTGCTATCATTTTATCAGTTCAAGTGAA